TGGTGCCCATCGGCCTGATAAGCCAGCATGCTCCTTCCTCAGCCCGCCTCAGACCCTTCTTGCGTCTGTGCTGGCCGAGCCACCTGTAGGTGGGAGGGCCCCTTCCCAACCCTGCTGACTGGCTCTCCTTGCAGTGACAGTAACGAGCGGGACAGCACCAAGGAAGACAACGTGGCCCCTCTGCGCTTCCACCTCAAATATGAGGCTGACGTCCTCTTCACCAGGTGGGCCGGGCTTGGGGGGGTCCCAGTAGAGGGGAGGGATGGGGAGTGGGAGGAGGGAGGCACCCTCTGATGGGCCCTAATAGGGCCAGACCCCAGCACTAAGGGACTATGGATGGAACCAAGTGTGTCCCTGATGAGTCAGAGAGTACAGCCTCCCCCATCCAGTGTGGGAAGGGGATATCAAAGTAGAGGAAGGAGGAGACACAGGCCTGGCCCTGGGGAGCATGCAGCAGGGGCAAGAAGGGAGGGGTGCAGTGGGAGGTGTCCACCCTTGGCATAGGCAACAAGTGAATGCATGGCCTATAGAGTGTTTCACAGTAATCATACGTATCAGAAGTCAATCTGCTTTTTATGATCACCTTACGCCAGCACATCTAAACAACCTCAGTGGGAAAAGACTCTTCCCGAGGGACAGACTGCTCCCACCCTCAACCCCTTGATATGCCACTGGCCCCTGATCTGACAGAGGAAACAGCCCCTGTCCTCTGAGAGCTCACAGGCAGATGGAGAGGTCAGGGCGGAACAGCAGATATGGAAAGGAAGCTCAGGGCCTCCCATGCCAGCCATCCCTGAGGGTGGAAGGGGGCACAGTGGCACGGTCACCCCAAAAAGCGGCTACAGCCCTAGGCAGAGAGGCTGGGCCAGGGGTGAAAGAACGGCTCTTCTGATTCACGCCCACCCACACACGAGGCAGACATTGCTCACAGATAGCAGCATAGCAGCGTTGATTCCTGCTAAGGCTCAGAATCCTTCCAAGCAACACTCCACCGACACAAGGAACCTGTTTTTTGTGACCCTGGGGAGGCCGGCACCTGCCCTCTCCCTCTTTCATTCATCCGTCCATCCAGCCAGCACTGACTGAGCTCACGATGGCCCTGTCCTCTGTCTCTGCAGGAGCAGCAGCCTGAGCCACTACGAGGTCAAGCCCAACAGCACGCTGGAGAGATACGATGGCATCGGGCCTCCCTTCCACTGCGTCTTCAGGGTAAGGCTGGAGGGCCCGGTGGAGAGGGAAGGATGGGATCTGAGCAGCCCCATCCTGAAGGGGAGGAATGTGGAACCATCACTAGTGCCCAGAGTCCAGGCTCAACCCTGCCACCTACCCTCTGTGTGACTTTCGGCAAGTCACTTCTTATCTCGGGGCCTCTCAGTCTTCTGAAAAACTGGACTGCAGTGGAGGATGTATTGGTGAAGATAAGGTGTGGCTGCCTAAAATTCTTAAAACATTTTTTTAAAAAAAAACAGTGGTTTAGGCCGGGCGCGGTGGCTCATGCCTATAATCCCAGCACTTTAGGAGGCCAAGGCAGGTAGATCATGAGGTCAGGAGTTCAAGACCAGCCTGGCCAAGATGGTGAAACCCCCGTCTCCACTAAAAATACAAAAATTAGCTGGGCATGGTGGTGGGTGCCTGTAATCCCAGCTACTAGGGAGGCTGAGGCACAGAATTGCTTGAACCCAGGAGGCAGAGGTTGCAGTGAGCAGAGATCGCACCATTGCACTCCAGCCTGGGCAACAGAGTGAGACTCCCATCTCAAAAAAGAAAAAAACAGTGGTTTAAACAAACTAGGGTTTACTCTCTCCTAAAAGAAGTCCCGAGTTGGCAGCGTCCCAGAGTCAGCCAGGAGTGGGTCTTCTATTCCACCAGCCTCAGCGTGAAGTAACCAGCCTCCAGTCGCCTCACAGTACAAGACGGCTGCAGCTCCAGTCATCATGTTCTCATCCCAGGCAGCAGGAAGGAGGAAGGGAAAAAGTGCATGCTCCTTCCTTATCAAGGGACTCCCGGCAGTTCTCACCCTTCCAGTGACCTCTCTCCATCCAAGACGTTGTGACTGAGCCGTAAGGGAGTCTGCGAAATGCGGCTTTTTGTCTCAGTTCTGTCACTAAGAGGGAGAATGAGCATTAAGGGGAAGCAGTTCAGCAGCCTCTGCTATAGTGGGCCCTGATAGCTGCCCCAGCCCTAAACTGCTGAAAGTTTGTCAACTTCTCATATGCTGTGTGAATGCTGAGGGCAGGCTGACAGCTGGATACTGGACTTCAGACACACTGAGCCCTGTGTGGCTTGTTCGAGAGAGGTCTAGTAAGCTGCCCAGGGCCACACAGCTCATAGGTGACAGCAGCAGGCCCAGGATTGGATTCCTGGTCTTTCTGAGTCCAAGCCCGCTTAGAACCACCGCTGCTCTGGCACTGAATGTGGTGCTGCTAGAAGATGAACAGTCGCACACTCACTATTTAGTAGCAAATCCCTTGTTAATGAATGATTCCCTTTCATCATGCATTAATTGCTGTCACCATCTTCACCCCTGGCCTCAACAAAATCCCACCCCCCACCCCAGCCAAGGAGAGTTGAAAATGGAGGTGGCCCCTGCTCTCCGGCCTCAGCATCCCCAGTGGCTTGTCTTCGGTTTCCAGCCACCCACCCCCTTTCAAGGCTCTCTTGCACTAGTCAGGGCAGTCCCCGGTCACAACTTGACAGAGCTTAGGAGCTTTCACAGCGAAACCACCAGGGGCCTTGAGTGGGCCTGTTCCCCAGGCCTGGCTGGGGGAATGGCCACCCCAGCGGCTGCTTAGCCCCTGTGGACCTTGTTTTCCACCCCCTTCAACTTACCTGTACTGACACCTCCCCATCTCCGGCCACAGATCCAGAACCTGGGCTTGTTCCCCATCCACGGGGTGATGATGAAGATCACTGTCCCCATCGCCACCAGGAGTGGCAACCGCCTGCTGATGCTGAGAGACTTCCTCACTGACCAGGTACCGATGCCCTTGGGAGCCGGCTCAGCAGAGGGGACCGGAAGGAGACAGACACCCCCCCACCCAACACATGTATCCCCAGGTTCCCAGACCCCAGCTCCCTTCTCGCAGGGCCACGGCTAGAGGAGGAGAAAAGAAGTATCTCTGGGAGCCTAAGTGGGCCAGAGCTGGTTGTGAGACTGTGTGTGTGTCCTTTATTTAGATGAACACATCCTGTAACATCTGGGGGAACAGCACTGAGTACCGGCCCACCCCAATGGAGGAAGACTTGAGCCGTGCTCCACAGCTGGTGAGTGTCCCCCAGACCGACAGCCACAGTGGTTGGGGTTAGAGGCGTGCCACCACCTTTGCTCGGGGGGGCCATTTCCTTCCTAATCCAATAGCTTGTCAGTTAAGAGCTTACTGAGCACCTTTATGTACCCAGCCCCAAGCCAAGAAAAAACTGAAGGAGAAAAAGACTTCTTAGCCTATGTGAGTCCCCCATCTCACAGGGAGTGGGGCAAACACACACACACAGTGAGTGCCTGAGGAGCCAGGATCAAGCCTGTGGAGTGTCAGGCAAACAAGCAGAAAGGGGTGGGGATAGTGGACTTGCACCTGGGCCAAGCGGGCTGGTGGGATACAGAGAAGCAGAGAGAATGGGAAGAAGCCAGAGGCAGCCAGAACAACAGAACACACATGGCTTGTACTGGAGACATTTGGCCTCAAGCTGGGGCCTCCTGACCTGGAGATGGAATGCAGATCAGCTTCAATTTCCAGAGCCTTCCCAAGACACCTGCTCATTTCCAGTTTGCATTCTCAGGGTTGCCCTTCCTCCAGACACCAGATTCTCAGCCCACTTCCACTGTTCTTTACCTAGACAACAATCTTAGCTGTTTGAGTTTTACTTCCCCAAAACAAGTGCCTCCCACAAAGCACTGATTGGGGGTGGTGTGCTTTACCAGGGGTTCGGGCTGAGTTGGGGTTGGGGTGGGCAGCAAGGCAGCTACACTACTACCTTTCACCTACTGTATTCTAACTGTTTGAAGGTTTGTTTGGGTTTCCCATCAACATTAGTTTCTCCATTTAAAGCTTTCAAACTGATGTCTTATCCTTCTTGGTGCCTCTAACTAGATCCTATTCACAGGTTACTACAAGTTAGTACGAGTTTACTTTCGTGAAAAAAGTTTTGGGACCCATGTATAGTTTTTTCATAATACACATTTTCTGTGAACTTGAGGAGGACCCCTTTTATCGGATTCAGGAAGTTCCCTGGGAGGTTTTTTTATCATGAGCAGAAGTTGGACTTCCTAAAATACTTTTTCTGCATCTGCTGCAGTGATCATGTAATTTTTTTACTTTTATGTGTTTATATGGTGATGGGAAACGTTTATAGCTTCCCTAACGTTGAACCGAAGTTCTGTTCCTAGAACATACCCAGGACGGTCATGAGGCACAGCTTCAAGGAGCATCAGCTATGCCATCCTTCATTTGTCTTTCAGTCATCCCCTGGCAGGTGGAGGGCACATGTCCCCCACTTCCAGCTCTGTCCTCATCCCCCGTCCTCTGTCCCTGCCCCCAGGAACAGAGCCCCAGTTGTTCAAGCAGAGCTGCCTCCCCCTGCTCCCCCTAGCCCAGCAGCTCAGCCCTGAGACCCATCCTCTTTTTCAGAATCACAGCAACTCTGATGTAGCCTCCATCAACTGCAATATACGGCTGGCCCCCAACCAGGAAATCAATTTCCATCTACTGGGGAATCTGTGGCTGAAGTCCCTAAAAGCAGTAAGTAGAGCGCTGGGCCGGAAGGAAGAAGGAAAAGGGGGTGGCTATTGGGATGTCTTCCACCTGGGGCTGCCTGGGGAGGGAACGGGAAGAAAGGCTTCCAAGCCAGCTTCCGACGAGGCCTCTGATTGCACAGCTCAAGTACAAATCCGTGAAAATCATGGTCCACGCAGCCTTGCAGAGACAGTTTCACAGCCCCTTCATCTTCCGTGAGGAGGATCCCAGCCGCCAGGTGAGTCCCTGGGAGCCCTGCAGAACCAGGCTGAGGCCGGACAGCTTGGGAAAGGGTTGGCTGATCCTCTAGAGTTTTCTACAACCCCTGGCCGCATGTCCCAGCAGGAGAGAATCAGGCAGACCTGGGGGCTGTTAGGGCAGCCGCTGAGGAGAGGGGGAAAAAAGCAAGACAAATGGGTCTTCGGGGGCAACACTAGGGAAGGGCCAGAGGTCTGGGGTGAACTGAATTTGTCAAGACCAAAGGATGTGAGATTCCTCTTTTTTAGTTGGGTAAAACCAGATTGTTACAGATCACACTAGTTTCAGTCAGGGTCCCGGAAAGGAGTGAGGCTCTGGGTAAGACCCAACGAGAAGTGAGGTCTTAAAGAAAAGCCTATTCCTGGAATAAGTGGCAAAGGAAAAATAAATAAATTTGTAAAAGAAAGCAAGCCAGCAAAACTCAGTCCTGTGAAAATAGGGCAGCTGGGCGTGGCATACTGCTGCCCCCCACTGGCCATACCCCAGAAATGCCAGCCTGGGCTCCAGGCAAATGTTTCTGTTCCACAGGCAGAGTAAGCTCCCCACCCCACCCCAAGGAGATGCTGGAGAGCAGAGGCAGCAGGGTCAGGAGGCAGCCCTTATAAAAGAATTCACCAAAAACCAATCACAACCAGGGCGGGGGGATGCCAGGCAGAGGGGTGTCGGGACCCACCTCAGGGGCTTTTTGTTTGTTCATTCATTTGGTGTTTGTTGGGTATCTTGCCTACGACTCCAGCCCCAAAGGGTAACCAGAGATGATTTAGGCAGACAGGGAAACAGTGACAGTAAGTGGGTGTGTGCAGTCTGAGAACAGGCACAGGCCTGGGGGAAGCGGTTCAGCGTGAGAGACACCCTCGCAAAGCTTTCTGGAGACTGTTTGTTTGAACTGAATCTTGAAAGATGCTGGAATGTTCCAGGCCTCCAAGAGAGAAGAGATGTGGTACAGGCACCCCCCTACATACCCTGCTCTCTCTCTCTCTCTCTCTCTCTCTCTCTCACACACACACACAGACGAACCTTCTTCCCACATTGATGCTTGTCTTTTAGGTGACTTTTCCTTCTTCCGCCCCTCACCCAACCCCCCAAAAAACTCCTCTTATACTCTCTGGATGCCTCACTTCTCTTTTAGAAATCCAGCAAACCTGAAATTAAGCCCCTGTATACTGGGCTCTGTGCTAGGTGCCGGCACTGGGGAGGCAGAGCCAGGTCCCTGCCTTGAGGGACAGAAAGAGCACACATAAGGGCGCTGCCACTCACTGGTCCCCAGCTGTGTGCTGAACACAGTGACAGACCTCACAACACTGTGAGCCACTGTCCCCACCCCCATCTCTCAGGTAGGCACACTGAGGCATGTGAGGTGAGGCAAGAGGGGCAGGGACTCACCTCAAGTTGAACATCGAGTCAGCGCCCAAAGCGGGCTCGGTCTGCTTCTGCAGGTGGTCATTTCACTGAGGCTGTTAGCTGAGCTCCTGCTGTGTTCCCAGCATGGTTCCAGGCATGGAGGACAGAGCAGGGACAAAACAGACAAAGCCCCTGCTCTACTACAGCTGGCATTCTAGGTGGGCAATAAACATGAACATAGACATCATCAAGTGGTGATAAGGGCCGTCCAGAAACAGGCACACATATAAGGGTGAAGTGCCGGGGCTGCTGTTTTATACAGGGAGTTGGGAAAAGCCTCTCCAATAAAGTGACATCATACAGAGACCATGAGGAAGACAGGAGTGTCTTGTGGCTGTGTGAGGAAAAGACTTGCAGGCAGAGAGAATCGCGGTGCCTGCAGCAGGTGTGCCATGACGTGCATGTAGACCAGGCGCCTGGAGGCTGGAGTAGGGCGAAGGGGAGCAGGAGGCAAGGTCAGCAAGACAGGTGGGACCCGAGAGGGGGAGGCCTTGCAGACCAGGGCCAGCACTGCACTTTTTATGCTGAGCAAGCTTGAGCAGAGCAGAGCATAGGCCTGCCTTCCTGGTTAGAAGGATCCCTCTAGCTGCTATGCTGAGAACAGACTACAGAGGGGAGGCTGGTGGGTGGCGGGTGGCAGGTGGCGTTGCAGTCTCTAAAGGAGATGTGAAGGCGCTCAGGCCCAGGAGGGGGAGGAGTGGCCACATTCTGGGTGTTTCCAAGGTCAAGTGGACAGACTTTGCTGCTGGACTCTGTGTGGGTGTGAAAGTTAGGGTCAGTGATGGATACATGGTTTCTGGCCTGAGCATCGAGGAGGGATGGTGCTGCCATTTGCTTAGGTGAGAAAGAACTGGAAGGAGCAGGCCTTGGGGGACGGGGTTGTTAAGAGCATGGTTAGGGGCCTGCTACAGTTGCCAGGCAGGCAGGAGACGGTCGGTATGATCTGGGAAATGTGCGTGCAGAGTAGAGACAGTGAAAGCCACAGGACTGAGGGAGCGGGCCTGGGGTTGCTTTCTGAGCTTCGAGGCCCTGGCCACTTTTGCCTCTGGGGCACCTTCCCCCATAGGAAAAAAAATATTACAAATTATGGTTTATAGCCAGGCGTGGTGGCTCACACCTGCAATCCCAGCACTTTGGGAAGCTGAGGCAGGCAGATCACCTGAGGTCAGGAGTTTGAGACCAGCCTGACCAACATGGAGAAACCCTGTATCTAAAAATACAAAATTAGCCAGGCATGGTGGTGCATGCCTTTAATCCCATCTACTCGGGAGACTGAGGCGGGAGAATCACTTGAACCCGGGAGGCACAGGTTGCGGTGAGCCAAGATCATGCCATTGCACTCCAGCCTGGGCACCAAGAGTGAAACTCGGTCTCAAAAAAAAAAAAATTATGGTTTATAACTGTGTTGGCATAAAGAAGAAAAATGTTATCCAAGCTGGAGTCTATTCCATTTTTTCCTCTGATCTTAAATGTAAACATTTTCATGGTCTCCTAAAAGTGATATGGGCCTTGCCACCATGCCTGCTGTGAATCGTGGGAAAGTCAGCCCTGAGTTCACCCAGGGAGCAACTCTAGAAAAAGAAGGGGTGTAAGGACTGAACCATGGGATGCATCGACCTTTAGCAGTGCAGGAGACCATGTGGAGGCAGCAAAGAGAGGAGGAGTAGCCCATGTGGTGGGAGGAGGATCCAGGGAGTGGGGGGGGGGGGGGGGGGGGGGGGGGGCAGGCTAAGGCCAAAGGCAGCAAGTGTCTCAAGGAGGCAGGATCAACTGGGCCACTGAGCCCCATGCTGGCTGTGCAGGCGCTGGTTGCCCTGAGGCCTTAGCTTGCCTGTTCACCCAACCCTCCGGCATCCCACTGAGGGGCCCCTACCAGGCACCCCCACCAGGCACCAGCTGTCTGTACCCTCCTGCCCCTCCCAGGCTGCCACCCCAGCCCCAGAACAGTAATGCTGTTGGCCTGGCCCCCACCCTTGCAGATCGTGTTTGAGATCTCCAAGCAAGAAGACTGGCAGGTCCCCATCTGGATCATTGTGGGCAGCACCCTGGGGGGCCTCCTGCTGCTGGCCCTGCTGGTCCTGGCACTATGGAAGGTGAGGACCCCTGCAGGGGAGGAACGGAGCAGCATCCTGGCTGAGGGGCCCAGGCTCCAGCCCCTGGAACTTTGTGGCCACTGCCACGTTCTGTTGAGGGGAGCTGGCACCCTGCCCCTCACCACAGCAGGTACATTGGTTAGGGCCAACAGAGGGCACCCAGGCTATGGCTGTGACCTGGTTGTGGGTGCCTTTGAGAACCTGATGAAAACTAAGGTTCCTATTATTAGAGGGGAAAAAAAAAAAACAGGCACTCACAACTGTAGAAAATATCTTCAACAATGTCAAGCTGTTAACCCTCCAAAGTCCATCTCTGTCCCTGAAGCTCTGATTACAAAACCCTGGTCTCAGCCTCCTCATGTTACAGATGAGGCCCAGAGAGGGATGTTGGCTGGGGCTGGTCACACAGCAACGTGGTGGGAACCAGCATGACTTCTCACATGCCACCCAGGGCCTCATCTACTCTGTTCCAGTCCACAGAGGCAGTTCTGGAGGAGGGGGTGCTCAGAATGAGCTGGGGTACTCAAGGAAGCCCCGAGGGAGGAATCCTGAGGAAGGGTAGTAGAGGGACAGCAAGGGCAGACCTTGTCCACCCTGTCCACCTCTGAGACATCTCCCTTTGCCTCCTCACAGCTCGGCTTCTTTAAAAGTGCCAGGCGCAGGAGGGAGCCTGGTCTGGACCCCACCCCAAAAGTGCTGGAGTGAGGCTCCGGAGGAGAATTTGAGTTGATGGGGGCCAGGACACCAGTCTAGGTGGTGTGCAGGCCCAGGCCTGCGGCCCCGCCAAGCTGAAGCGGAGAGGAAGCCAGCTGGCTTTGCACTTGACCTCATCTCCTGAGCAATGGCACCTGCTCCCTCCAGAATGGAACTCAAGCTGGTTTTAAGTGGAATCGCCCTACTGGGAGGCTGGGACACCTTCAACACAGATCCCTAGGGATTTAAAGGGACACACCCACCCCAAGTCTTCCCTCAAACTCTGTGGAGGGCATTTGCTGCCCCAGCTACTAAGGTTCTAGGAATTCGTCATCATCCCCATCCTCCAAAGAAAGCCAGGGAGGAAGACCATAAATACGAACTCAATCTGCACACTCCAGGTCTCTAATTCCAGAAGGACCCAAGACAGAACAGATCTAAATTCTGCCCTTTTCTCTCACCCTCCCACCCCTCCATTGGCTCCCAGGTCTCACCCACCCCCCTCCCCATAGACAGTCCCCTAAGGCTCCCCAAGAATGCACCAAAGCCCAAGGGCTTGATGGTGATAGCCACAAGCCAGGGATGAAGAGACTCTGAGATGCAGAGACTAATAGCCAGGCAAGTGGGACCAGGATACCACACACTGCCCTGACATGAGAGGCAGACGGGCACTGCACCCACGTGCATTCCCATTGACCGCAACGCACACGTTCCCACACCAGCTGCAGCCCCTCGCTCTCAGCTGGCAACCCTCCCGGGCCACATTTGTTCCCAGGTACCTCATGGGAAGCATGTGGATGACACAAACCCTGGGGCTGTGCATTCCTACATGTCTTCTTGCTGCAGCCTGCCCCTAGACGTGGACACACTGGCCCGGCTGCAGCTGGGCAGCAGGGGTAGGGTGGGGGACCTCCCCCCCTATATCACCCACCTCCCTACACACACACACTGCCTCCCATCCTTCCCTTATGCCCACCAGTGCAAAGGGAAGGGCTTGGCCAGCGCTGTTGAGGGGTCCCCTCTGGAATGCACTGAATAAAGCCCGTGCAGGGACTCCCAGAGCCTGCGCAGCCTCGGTGGCAAATATCTCATCCACCGGCCCCCAGGACAAGTGGTATGACCAGTGATGGTGCCCCAAGGACAAGGGGCATGCCTGGTGCCCAGCGGAGTAATTTATGCCTTAACCTTGTTTTGAGGTAGAAAGGGGGACGCATCAAAGGCATCTGTCCCCGTGCATAGTACGACCTTTACTGTCGTAAATATTTTTGAAAAATTAAAAATACAGTGTTTAAAAACAACCAAGCACTGACATCCCATTCTGTGGGCAGAGCGCATCCCAGTGACCTGCACACTTACCTTTGAAGGAGTAGTAGATGAGGGGCTCCTTGCTTCCTTCCCTCCTACCTCTACATGTCAGAAGGGACTCATCCACCATCTGCTGCCCACATCATGCCCTCTAAGTAGCTGACTGGCCTCCATGTGATGTCTCCAGTGGTGGAGCACTCTCTCGCCCAAGATCGCCCTTTCATCTTTGGCCTGTGTGGACGGTTAGGACCCAATGTTTCACTGTAGCTTCCCCGCTTGCTTCCAGCTCTTCCCTCACATCCCTCCCAGACTTCTCCAGGCCAGTTTCATTGCTAACCCTCTTACACTCTGACTTTAACCAGGGGGTCTTCCATTCTATTCTTGCGCCATTCACATCTTCGAATCCCAATTAGAAGAAACTTGGAAATTATTTGATCTTGTTTTACATAAATGAGGACACTCAGAACCAGAGAGAACCCTAGGCTCCCACAGCAAAACCTAGACTAAACCCAAGACTGCTATCTCCCAAGCCAGATTCTATCATTCAAGCCCAGCCCCAGAAGGGCTTGTTGCAGAGCAAAAGGTGAAAATGGTGAAACTAAAATTTCAGTTATCAAAACCTATCGCCTTCTAATAGAATCAGAAGGAATTGGTGTTAGATCATATTCCATTTCAGTCATCACCCTTATGAATAGGGTAACCTGGCTAAATGGGAATTAATGAACTCGCACTCCTAAGTGCATGGTTTGATTTAGCACCAAGTCTACCATCAGATCTGAGAGAATGCTCTTATGAAAAACCCAATTTTTAAAGGCTGGCATTCATATTTTTAAAAACAACCGCCTGTGACCACACTGCAGGCCAACAGAATGTACCTGCTACAAACAGATGCAGCCCAGAGGCCACACTGATTGCCACCTCTGGACTCATGGTCAGAGGCAGGCAGCCCTTATTCCAGAACTCCACGGTCCCTTCACGCCCTTCCCCCCACCTACACCAAGACCAACTAAGTGGTCAAAAGGTGGACAAACTGAGAGTTCTGTCAAGGCCTTCAGCCTCTCAATTTCTCTTACTGTAACGCTATTTACTCTGAAGTACAAATGTCCCAGATAAGCCTTAAGAGTGCCTGGTACGGCCAATAGCGATGCATCTTACAGGGAGCAGAGTCTACGCTAGCACAGTATGTCTCAATCCTGGCTGCACCTTAGAACCATCTGGGAGCTTTAAAAGTGACCACTGCAAGGGCCCCACCCACTATGGATTCTAATTTCATTGGTAGGGAGAGGGGCCAAGTTTGTTTCCAACTTACCCAGGTGAGTCCAATGGCTGAGCGTTGCAATCAGCAGGCAAATTAATATCCAGGCTAGAAGATGAAGAAATGGAGGTTCATAGGCACAGGTTCTATGAATACCAGAAACTTGTCTTCGGTGTCATTCAGGTTAACGGGGCTGTAGCCTGGAGTGGGGAAGGGCTTCATGTTACGTACAGCACGTCTTCAGAGAATTTGCTGCAGATTTTGCCCACTTTTCCAGGGTCCTCCAAGCCTCCAAGGGGGACTTAGAGGAGCTGAACAGCAGTCTCTAAAGACAATTTTGGCATTTAGAGGCAAGCAGCCCAAAGTGCAAGATTAAATCAATATTAAAATTCACATTGTGAGGCCGGGCGCGGTGGCTCAAGCCTGTAATCCTAGCACTTTGGGAGGCCGAGGCGGGTGGATCACGAGGTCAAGAGATCGAGACCATCCTGGTCAACATGGTGAAACCCCGTCTCTACTAAAAATACAAAAAATTAGCTGGGCATGGTGGTGCGTGCCTGTAATCCCAGCTACTCAGGAGGCTGAGGCAGGAGAATTGCCTGAACCCAGGAGGCGGAGGTTGCGGTGAGCCGAGATCGCGCCATTGCACTCCAGCCTGGGTAACAAAGAGCGAAACTCCGTCTCAAAAAAAAAAAAAAATTCACATTGTGGTTCACAGGTTAATGTTAACGACAATCTGTTAAGAAGAATTACAGAGCTAAGGGTTACACTCTGTGTTCACAGGAAACAACCACTTTAAAAACTGTCTTTTAAAAGCATTATTGGCTCATCCCCCCAAAAAAAGACAAAACAAAAATAAAAGCATTATTGGCCCATCCTAGACATCACTCTAAACAAGCTGCTTTGATTTCCTGTGGCCATGTGACACTTAAGAAATTCTGCAGCAAACTTAAGTGCACTGGAGAAAAACATACTTGGGGCACAAAATCCCCAACAGATGATGGTTTTAGACTTTGGTCCTTGGATTGTCAGGATTTCTAAATCCTAGGCTTACTGGATAGTACAGGAGACACACCTCCGCAGGGAATTGTGTGATGAGACGTGCAAGATGTCCTGGGTGACTTCACAGGTGACTCTAACATGGTGGGCCAGCAGAGTCCTATCCGCATGAGCCCCTACGCATCGGCTGGGGCAGGTCTTCAGAGAAGAGGGCATCGATTAGGGCAGTTCCAGACAGCTGAGAGCTAGAAAAGAGAAACCTTGACAAGCATGCTTCTTGCTTCTGGCATTAGGTGGTGTGGGCATGCAAGCTTGGCGGGCAAATTGTGCCCCATAAAACAGATATCTCTGCAGAGCTGAGCTTCTCAGAGGGGTCCCAGGACCACCTCAGTCAGACCACAGACTCCTAAGTTCCTCCTCAGACTTCACAGATCCAAGTTCTGTGAGGTAGTTCTAAGCACATTAAACTTACAGAACAGCCGTCTGGATTTAATATGACATAAGAGCTTATAATATTATAGTAACATTCTGCGATTCTGTTTTCTTCAATATCAGTTTCCTAAACTGTCAGGCCTGTCTTAGATGCCCTTCCAGCTGTGCTTGGGCCTATCTTGGTGGCAGCCAGCAAAGATAATCAGCAAAAAGCCCAGTGGAGTTTCTGGGTTTTACTTCTGTTAAGGAAGGTGATGTTTCTTAACAAGACAGGTATCTAGGCGCAAAGGGCAAAGTACTAACAAAAACACAGCAGACACAGTATGGAATCGCTCTGCCCAGGGAGATATGGAAAAGCTTCTGCGAGATGCTGTGGACCTTTCCAACCCTCGAGGTGTTTATAAGATACATTGCTACCTCCATCAGTATTCAAAAGCTTTTTAGCATCAATATTGTCTGAGAATAAGACACTAGACTTGAGTCCGTCCCCTGGCTTCAAGCCCAGTATGCCAAACAGCCTGTAATGGAGAACGCTGGCCTGCTGCTGCTCCTTTCCCGCTATCATGACTCATGACTCACTGCACCCATGCCTCACCCCCAACAAGCAGTCTCGCACCACCCAAATGTGCCTTGGGTGACTTAAATACAGCCATTATTATGAATGGTCCCCTGTTTTTATTCAACACCACACTGGTCTGTGCTTTTACCTTCAGCTAATGTGGTTCCAGACTTTTATTCTGCACTACTTCTTATGATTAAAAAAAAAAAAAAATTCCCAAACTATGTTAGTATTAACATCACCTAGGTTCTTCTCAAAGGACAGCCAGGCTAACTGGCCACATTAAAATCTGCAGTGCTTTTGTGTCACTGTCTATTATTCTATCAGCTTCAACATCATGCTAAAATAGGCCAGGATGTTCCAAAACTGAAACTGAAACAGGAACAGAGCCTTGCTGGTTTAGCATCAAGAGGGAATTGGAAGCCTTGCACCTGGACTCTCAAAAACTTTTCAATAATGTATTCTAAATTGTACCTAGCAAACTTACCAGGTCCAAAGTAGAGTACACACAGAAAGTTATTTTTAAAGGAGGGGCACCACTCCTTGAGGGACTTACCCTTTCTCGTCAGCTTTGCTTGGTTTGAGACAGTGTTCTGTTGCCCAGGCTGGAATGCAGCGGCACCGTCACAGCTCACTGCAACCTCCACCTCTTGGGCTCAAGCAATCCCACCTCAGCTTCCCGAGTAGCTGAGGCTACAGGCACACACCACCACACCCAGCTAATTTTTGTATTTTTGTAGAGACAGGGTCTCGCCGTGTTGCCCAGGCTAGTCTCGAACTCCTGGGTTATCTCCCTGGCACTGCATTAAAAAAACAAGAGCAGCAACTTAGTGATGTGTCTGAAATGTTTTCAGAAGATGGCCCAAGCCAAAGTCAAAGAATACCTTAAGTTTTTATTTGGAAAATTAGAGGAAATATAGAAAATCAAATTTCAAACAGGTGCATCTAACTGGAGAACAAGCTTATCAAGGACAGAGACCATTTTTTGTATTTTTTACTTTTGAGACAGGCTCTCGCTCTGTCGCCCAGGCTAGAGTGCCGTGGTACAATCACAGCTCCCTGCAGCCTCGACCTCCTGGACTTCAGTGATCCTCTCACCTCAGCCTCTCAAGTAGCTGGGATTACAGATGTGCACCACCATACCCAGCTAATCTTTTTTTAATTTTGTGGAGAGAGGGGGTCGGGTCTCTCTTTGTTGCCCAGGCTGGTCTCCCTTATTTTTGTATGCGTATCTGTGGTGCAGTGCCTGAAATACAGTATGTGTTCAGTAAGCACCAGTTTCCAAGAATGTCTTGCCATTGATTAAGGCAAAAGCAAAACTCCAGTCCTCCCCTCTGATGGACTGAGCACATCAAATTTTTAAAGCACAGGCAAATTAGAAAATATAATTTTGTCAAAACTTGCCAACAAGCTAAGGTTTTGTGAACGGCCTAAAATTTGCCTCTCTCATATTGAAATGTTCTACGTCAAGTATCTGAAGGAACATAACTACTACCAGTATTTTCTTTAGCCTGGTCATTTGTATACAGCAGACATTACTTGAAACAAAGAAGGATACGTTTTAAAACCCGTCTGGGTGACTTCTGCGGTCTCGCTAGGCATTGCAGCCAGTGAGCAACTTGGCAGAGATCCGAAGGTGCCCTTCTCTAGTACTGGCGTCCCATAGTGAAAGAGCAGTGCTCCATGGGTCCAAAGACCCAGAGCCTATTCCCAATTATGACACACTTAGGCCTTGTGTGTCCTTTCTGGGCTTGTGTCCTGAACTATAAAATGAAAGGACTGCGCTAAATGTTTTTTTCAGATCTCTATAGAGACTCAGCATCTAAATTTGAAAACAAACATGTGCTGAAGGTGTGCTCCAATACCACCCTTTGATGCTCTCCTGGCTATCTTAACCACTGTAAGAGCTGTGAATGCTGGAAATGAGAAGGCAAAATTATTGTTACTTGCAAATGATTCATGTATCTGGGACATCCAAAAGAAGTAACTGAAAATTTCTTTCTAAAAAAAAAAGAAATCCATTACAGTGCTTTTGTAAAAACATTAATATTTAGAAGTACATGTAACGATACAAACCTAGTGATAATAAAAGGCAGATAGTTGTAAGACCTTCATTTAAAAAAAAAAAAACCTCTGGATAGCGGTATATGACTTACCTAGCCAGATATATTGTTCTTTTGGATTAAAAAAAAAAAAAAAGCTCACAAGTGCACAACTATTCAGAGGTCCCTAAATCTATTAATTCAATGCTAAACAAAATAATCTCTTAACATGATAAAATGACATCAAATTTCATCTGGAAAAATAAACATAAAATACTGGAAAAAATTAGCTGCTCCCACCTCCCCACTTAAAAAAGACAAATGAAGAAATACTAGTCCAAGGTCACAAGTGGTGGCTCACGTCTGTAATCCCAACACTTTAGGAGGCTGAGGTGGGAGGACTGCTTGAGCCCAAGTTCAAGACCAGCCTAGGCATCATGGAGAAACCCCATCTCTACAAAAAATACCAAAAAATAATAATAAGGAAAAAAAAAAAGAATTAGCTAAGCATGGTGGCACATACCTGCAGTTCCAGCTATTTGGGAGGCTGAGTTGGGAGGATCACTTGAGCCCAGGAGATCGAGACTACGGTAAGCCATGATTGCACCACTGCACTCCAGCGTGGGTGAGAGAGTGAGACCTTGTCTCAAAAAACAAAAAACCAAACAAATTATAGGAAAATCAAAATTTTAAACCAAAGAGAAGGAGAAAAAACGGAAGGGAAGCCATAAGTGTCTTATTCAAATAGATCATGGGTTAAAAAAAAAAGATGTATAACTTGTAACTAGGAATAGAGACAGCCTTACAAGCAGGATATAAAACCATTTTTTTAATTGTGATAAATTTGACTATATAAAAATGTAAACTTCGGATACAAAACTACTGTATTTTAAGTAAATAAACTAAAACTATTACACGACAGAAAATGTCCTCAAACCTCTAAGGAACTTCTAGCAAGTAGTTAAAAAAAAAATTGAAGGGACCGGGCGCGGTGGCTCACGCCTGTAATCCCAGCACTTTGGGAGGCCGAGGCGGGTGGATCACGAGGTCAAGAGATCGAGACCATCCTGGTCAACAT